CAAGTTATTGTATTTAATTAATAAATCCTTCAGACTGAGAAGGACACTCAGTGCGTGTGTTCACTCGCACAGACTTCACTCGGTTAAAAAGTCGCGGTGGATATTTTACAAGCACTGACCAGGTAACGTAAAAGCAACATTGAACACAGGGTGCAGATGTTGGTTTCGGCTGTTTGAGTTGTCTGATAGGCTGCGTCATTAACAAGCAAGTGGCTCACCTGCTGCCGTGATAATGGATCGCGGGTGGAAAAATATGGAAAAAAGATGACAGTGTAGTCTGCCGAAGCCTCCCTCCACTGCTTGTTTGGGTGGGTGATTTGCAGGCTGATCAACATCCCGCCCCTCCTGTGACCCATGGTTTGAATGTATGTGTATTCAGAGCCAGTGAGCAATGGACTTTCAAACTAATAATAATAAAATAAAAACTGCGTTAACGTGCGATAAGATAATTGTCGGTTAATTAATTAATGCGATAATAACGCGTTAACGTGCCCAGCCCTAATTTAAACTCAACACAAAAATACGATTTACGGTCAGCAATGTCCAAGGGATTCCAAACAAGGAATATAGCCACATGCAGGTGTGAGCAGTGAGTGAGCCATTGGTTGCAATTTGAAACCCTCACCACTATGCCACTAAAACACACTGAGCCTTTAAAGGGGCATTATGTAGTTTCCAGCGGCCACTAGCGGTGCGGTTCTAAGATTGCAACCAGGTGTGTGTGTCTCATGAGCAAGCATAATCTGAAACACAACCGCTTTCATACAAAAATCCTGCAAAAAAATGCAGGAACAACAGCATGCCAGCTGTGGCTTTTCACTCAGACATGTTCAGGCTCTGTTACTTCAACGTTCCCATCTCAGAGGGAGATCAACACCGGCGCTGTACTTTTCATTCAGCTCAGCTAGCCGCATATCAACACAATACTCCCGGAAAAAGGCAGAGTGACAGCGGGACAGACAGAGCTGGAAACTCAGGTAAACTCCCACTGCAACGTTACAGTAATAGTTTAATCAGCTGCAGGTTGAACTAATCCATGCTCGTTACATGATCACGGTACATTTACTGCATTTAGCCAATGTCAGACAATGAATCGCTTAAGGACTGTGTATTCAAAGAGCCTCAGTGAACCTTTCTAGCCGTAAAGGTGTCACTAAAGACAGTCCACAGGACAGGAAAGGGGGGCGATCTGACCCCTTCTCCATCCCGCAGGTCACCTCCGGCCTCAATCTGACTCTTTTCTCTCCACAGAACGGCTGAGCCATAAACCACCATTTCATTCTCGGATAACCGATGCGATAAGCCAGGAATGCAAAGAAAAGAGACCATAAAAACCCCTGTTTCTCGAACGAAGCAAGGTTCCATTATAACTGTTTGTTCTGTTTAAATAATAACCTTGCTAAGTGAGCAGTGGTGTTTGCCTCTGAGTTTAGTAAGTAATGACCCTGTTGTTATCCTTTAGTGATGTTTGAAGACTAGCAGACCCATAAGAAAGTAATCTTGGACGAGTTCTCTAACCTCTTTCTGTTTTGTCTTAATTCATCCCTGTTACTCCCTAGTAATCACTGTCTGTTCAGTATTAACTAATGCTTTAGTTAAATGTTTCATATACAATTTCCTACTAAATTATCCATTGAAACGCTCGTGTGTATCACCAGCCTCTCAGTTAAAGTGGAATGTCTACTTTTTTCTTGTGTGACCCGAGCGCCACCAAGGGGACAGGAAAGGTATAACACGCAAGTGTTTAAAACTCGGCTTACACTGACAAGATCGCTAAGTAGGCCTACCTATCACCATGTAACTGCATAAATGAAATTTTGCTGTCACGCTTACATCTAAATTGTCGCGTGAGTTAAAACCAGTAACCAGCAAGTATACTGAGGACAGGTAATTACGCTTTGTTACGTTTTATATAACCATTATAACCTTTTTCCATAGTGTTTAGCCTTTTTTTAACTGTCTTTACCCGAATGTTTAGAACTAAGTATTTTTCCAAATGTCGATATTGTGGAGAGAGAGATTAAAGGGAAATACGCGCAACGTATATTTCTTTATCCCAAAAAGTTAACACTGTAACGACTTCCCGAGAGACCCCCCCCCCCGAAATTGACGTCACACTAACTAGTGAAATCAATAAAAAGGCCCTGCTGTCTTTTGTTCTCCCTCTTCTCTTCTAAAAACTTTCTTGAAATTAAACGTATACGCTCTCTTAACTTTACTTTCTCTTAACTTTACTTTCTTTACTTTTTGAAATTCCGAATTTTCCGTTTCGTACTTAAATCTCCTTCAGACGAGCTGAGAAAGCTACGACCCTGAATTCCAATTTTCTTAGCGGGAGATTTTATTATTTTTATTCTGTTCGGAGCTGCCTGTCCAATCTCAGCAACATTAAATAGCCTATATTCCCGAGGCCTTGCGAAACTACGGCGAATGTGTGAGTTTATTTGATTTTGTTGTTGCAACCTCATCCGACCGTTGTGAGCAACTTTGGACCAGAAACTCAGAAGCCTTCATTTATGGCCTTGAATAAATGAAACCACGGCTCTGACGACAGAACCCTGAGTGGGCTCCGCTATAGCGACACCAAACGAACTGAAATCAGAGTAAAAGCCTTGGCTGACGGCCCGTTGCTGCAAGCGCTTCCCACAAAGGACTCCGGAACAAATCCACCGGTTTCGAACCCAACTCAAAAACGCCACTGGGGTCGGGCCAGAACCAACTCCACGAGCCAACCGGCAGTCGAGACTTGCTACGGGACATGCGGCAATGGTAGGGCAAAACAAACCACACTCTGTGACTCGTTGGTGTTCTCTAGTTGGCTCCATCCACCGTTAATAAACCCCTAGATTAGTCAAACTAAATCTGCAACCTAATTTCGGTCATTCGTTCCCTCATATGCGTAGAATTCTCTCCCTCTACAATATAAACTGAAATTCAATTGAGCCTTACACAGGCCACCCTGTGTTATTACCTCCTGGTTGTCATATTAACTGTTACCCCTGTACTATTACCCCATTTACCCACTATTGTACTCTCTTTTGTTAGTTAATAAATTCACCTTGAGCACAGTGATGTTGTGTGTGTGTTATTTAGAATCCAGAGTCCCTATACATAGAACTTATGCTCAGATCTGAGATTGACTGATTGACTTTACGATTTCAGAATAACTGAACCAGTAACAACTCATGAATTACCAGAAATTCGTGTAATTCTCAAGCTATACTCAAGGACCTAAAGCCTTGGGCGGACAAGCAAATCTTTAGGTGGTGCTCCTAATTTCGAGGCATAAATTAATATTCCCGGAAATATTAATTTTCACAACTGTATTAAAATTTTACGTAGCCTAGATCTGCTACAGCTACATCATTAGCTCGCCTGCTGCTTTTCAGTAACTATCTTTACTATCTGTGAAACTGTCACCGGTGGCTCATCAATGTCAGCACAGCTACATGTATTGGATGATAATGAAATGGGTAGTGAGCTGGACTGAATATTATTCTTCCAGAGTCTTAAGATTGTGTCACACTTTATAACAGTTAGACCGCAGTACGTAACTTTACTGTGTTGTTGTTGTGACCATTTTGTTGCAGTGTTGTATATTATGTTGGTCACGTTAGTTACAGCAACTGAGAGGTGGTATTGGTAAAACAACAATAAACCTAAAGTGAACGTTACGAAGCAAACAGCAGCAGGAGCTACTGTAGCGTTAGCTGGCTGCTCCTGGCTGCATCACTATAGGCTAACGTTAGTAAACAAATCCCTCCACATTTCCTTTTTGCCGTTACATCCTTTCTTGCAGGCGAAATCAACAGTGGTACACAGATAGTAACATGGGTCGCGTCAGTTGTTCAAATAATAGAGAAAGCGTTATAACTTTGCACTGGATGACATAAGCAACTGCTCTGCGTTAGCCGGTGAGCTAACGTGACTTTCTCTGTGTTTCTCCAGCTTTACAAATGCTCACTTTGTTCTTACTCGACAATATCTGAACCTGTTTGGTCTGGTGGGCTTCAGCACATAAACCTTTATTGCTGTTTTGTATCCTTACGTGGAGCCTGTGTTATGTGGTGAGCTTTATGGTGTTAGTGGACTGCATGTCGTTAGCTGCCGTGTTGTCGCTGTAGTACGAGAGAGGCTCGGGAGCGCGCACAGGGCTGAAACCCACCCGGAGACCTCACATTAAAAGCAGAACAGTGGCTGATACAAGCAACGGAGAAAACAGGCGTGTGCTTCATTTACAAGTGAGTTTTGAAAATTTGATTAATTTCATTGAAAAACTTACATATAGCCCCTTTAAGGCATACATTTAGAGAAATGATCATTTCCAACAAAGAAAAATAAGGAATTTGATTCACAAATCAAAGAAAAAGAAAGATCATTAAAAATCTTTACAAGAGTTGAAATCTAAATTGTCTGAACTTAAACAACACAAATTGTTAATAATTACAGATAGATTTCAAATAATTTTAAATATTTGTGTAATACTGTTCTCTGTGTGTAGCATGAAGGTGGATAAAATTTTTCTCCCTTTAGGTAGTTAGGTAGATTTATTTTGTCACAATATAACAGTTTATAGAGTGAAATTGAGTTTGTAACTCTCTTCTGCTACATAACAGACAGTATAAATTAATATAGAAGCAATTATAAAAGCCAAAAGCAAAACTCTCAACTTAGCAGGATCAGTTCACATAATAATTATTTAAACTCGGTAGGTTTATTGTCACAATATAACAAGTTATAGAGTGAAACTGAGTTTTGTCCAAGGGATTCCAAACAATGAATAAATCCACACGCAGGTGTGAGCAGTGTTTTTTGCAACCCTCACCGCTAGATGCCATTAAAACTTACACACTGAGCCTTCAAGGCATACGTTTATAAAAATTATCATTTCCTTCTCAACAAAGAAAGCAGCTTGTTTGAGTTTGAATTTTTGTTTTTATTTAAAATTTTCGTTACATTATCAATATATTCTGGAATTCAAAGACCAATTGGCTTTGATCAATGATTCTAGAATCTGTCTTTCATCTATGCTTCTAGGATCCTATATAACCTGGTGTGTATAAGGATTATTCTCACTTCAACAAACGGCCCAAACAGTCGAACACCAGTTGCCTGGTTATATCGAAGTACTAATGGAAAGACACACAGAAATAGCAGAATATACTCCAGAGAAGACTGCAATGGATTCCAGTGAATTTACAAAGACAGACAAAATGTTTTCACATAAGGACATCCCGCAGATTGTCCAGTTATTCAGAGAGGCTGATGCAGACGGAGGTGGAGGGCTTGATATGGAAGAGTTTTGTGGAGCGATGAGGAAGTTATATGGTGACGTTGATAAAGAAGAACTGATTGCCCTCCACATGCAAGTTGACGCAAACTGTGACACCACTGTGGACCTTGGTGAGCTAATGGACTTCCTATTGAATAAAAATAAGGCGTCAGAAAGCATGGATTATAAAAATCAAGCCTTTCCCAAACCTATCACCAAGATACCTGTGGATCACTGTAAAGCAATCATTCGTCTGCTTTTCATTCCCTACGAGGATGGCAGGGAAACTGATCAGGATTATGAGGAATTAACAGGACAAACAAGAAGTTACCAGAGAGGTAAGTACCTCTCCATCAGCTCGGATGGTATTCTCAAAGCCTGGACTGACAGCTTTGACATGCAATACACAACTGCATTATACAAAACCAAAAAGACACTTCCTTTTTCACACATCAACAAAATGTGTGTTCATGACATGGTGTACCTCAGAGAACTGAAACAGCTGGCTGTCTCCACTTCTGACAGGGAACTGTTATTCTATGACTGCAATGACTTCCCTGAGATGTTTAAAATCAGTCACTCTTTAATAGTAGAGGACAACATAGTGAACGCCATGAACTACTGGTCCAAAGACACTAAAGCAGTGTTTTCCTTTGGTGATGTAAAAGGCTTTTTGTCTGTGTTTATCTCCTACAACGTAAAGAAAAACGGTCTCTTCTGCCCAGAGCTGTACGACAAAATCTCCCTGCGGTCGTATAAAACAGTTTGTGTTTCAGCCCTGTTGAAGAAAACATCTAAGGACTTTCTATGTGTTAAAGTCCCTGTCTTTAATGATACGTGCATGACGATCCAATATTTTACATCACTCAACTCATTTGCCATCTGCGGTAATTCATCCAAGACAATGGTCCTTGCTGGCCTACCCAAGCCTTCCAGAACCAAAGTCTCTAAAAAAGTCTTCAGGAGCCGCGGAGACAATGAGTTTTTCACATGTGTTGAATACTCCCCTTCAGCTGAGCGTCTGGTGACTGGTGGTACAGATGGCTTGCTGCGGGTGTGGTTTCCCCACAAAACCATGTCATGCGAACAGGAATTAACAGGACATGTCAAACCCATCACCTGCATTTCATTCAACCCCATAGACAAAATATTTGTCAGTCTATCGGAGGACAAGAATGTACGCGTGTGGTCCGAGGACGGCTGGATGTGTAGACAAAGCTTCCAGGCTCAAGACATGGGGAGGGCCCCAATCTCCAGTGTGTGTTATAACATACACAACAATGAGTTAGTCCTGGCTAACTCGGATATAGGAAAATATCTTGGAAGAGGAACAGACGTTTTCAAAGAAACCTTAACATCCCACGACAAGCCCCTTTGCGGTGCTCTCTATCACAGCATCTTCAAACAGGTTGTCTCTGTTTGCCGAAACGGTGTGGTGACAGTGTGGGATATCGTAACAGGAAAGGCCGTCATGCAGTTCAAGGTGACTCCGGGTCAGAATGAGGGGCTCACTGCCATGTCCTTTGATGAAGCGCAACGCAGACTAATCACAGTTTCCCAGGATGGGAAATTGAGACTGTGGAACTTTAACAACGGCACAGAGCTCGGCGTTCTTCCTGTAACTGTGCCGAGGGAGGTGACGGGTATTGCCTGCATTAACAACAGAGTGTTTGTCTCTGGAAGAAACTCCAAGAGGATTTTTGACCTGGATTTAGAGGAACAGGACAACAGATTTTTGGAGCATGATTATTTAAATGACATTTCCTCAATGGATGTGCACGAAAATACGCTGGTTACCGCCTCCAGCAATGGAAATATTGTTATCTGGGATGCTGAGACTGCCGAGGCTCTCTGCTGGCTCAATCCCAGTGAGGGCCCTCGAGTACACATGGCAGGAAGAAAAGATCAAGGCCGGACAGGGAGTCTACCTGTTGAGAAGAGCATACATAAAAAATCTACAACTCTGACTGGGAATAAGACTACCAGTCCTCTTATCTTATGTCTGAAGACAAGGGAGGTCAATATTGACACAGCCACACTGCTGATTTCTGCAGATGGCTACATCAATGCGTGGTCTGTTAATGTCAAAGGAGGTCTGTTAGGAAAGTTCAGGGCAGTAAATTATGAAGGTGCCGTCATTACCGCCATGTCGACTGATGTCAATGAACAGATTTTACTGACTGGGGACAGTACCGGAAAGATTTATCTGTGGGACATTCAGGAATTCGGGTTAAAAAAACAGGCAGACAAAGGGCCATTTGAGGATATACATGGGTGGCGTGTGTCACTGTGTCCACCTCCTCTGTTGGGCTCCTGGCGAACTCACTTCACAGGGGTGGTGAGTGTTAAATGTGACCCTGCTTGTGAAAACATAATTACTGCGGGGTTGGACTGCAATGTCCGGCTATGGACAAATACAGGCTGCTGTGTAGGCCTCTTTGGGAGAGACCAATGGGGTGCTACGCAACTCAGCCCTGAGAAGAATGCTGAACAGCAGGAGCCAGAAAAACCAAGCACTGCAAAGACAAGAAACTCTCATATACCATTCCCTGAGTCTCCAAGGTCTTCATCACCCACATCTCCGCTCCCAAACTTTGACGACCTATATGAACAAATTAGAGAGGTAACCAAAACACCTGAGGTTACGCCAACACTGACTTTTGATCAACTACTAACTGAATATAAACAGCTGATCAAGTACAAGCCAAGTTTTGACCAAATAAAAGATATGTGGATGTTGGGGAATGAAAATACTCCATCACCATGTCCTTCAAAAACCACGCCAGCCAGGGGGTCAGATCACACCTCAGACCATGTACACTTTCCTACCATCCCTGATAGGATTCAACTCACAAAATGTCAGACCCAGTTGAAAACGCATCCAACTCAGACTCAGCTCTTCAGAGGTGGCACTTACCCAAAACAAAGCACTCCTCAGACAGGGTCTCCGAATTTAAACCACACTAGGTCCAAATATGGACGTGTGCTCAAGACTCAGCAGAGAGACTCATTAAAAGGAAGTGTCCTCACACCATGTCCACCAAACTCCCTGCCAGGAGAACAGGGGTCTGATCACACATCAGAGCAGGTACACTTGCTACCCATCCCTGACAGGGTTCAACTCACACATAATCAGACCCAGTTAAAGCCAAATCCACCTCGGACCAAGCTCATCAGTGGTGGCACTAACCTTAAACAAAGTTCTCCTCAAACAGCATCTCCAAATTTGAACCAGACTAGATCCAAATATGGAAGAGTGCTGAAGAGTCAGAAGAGAGAAAGATCAGAAAGCGATGTCCTCACACCATGTCCACCAAATACCCTGCAAGGGAAGCAGGGCTCCGATCACAGATCAGAGCAGGTACACTTGCCACCCATCCCTGATAGGGTTCAACTCACACATCGTTAGACACAGTTGAGGCCACATCCACCTCAGACCACTTCCCTCATCCCTTCATCCTTTCATCCCTTCATCCCCTCATATCTGCTCCCATCATCCTTTCATCCCTTCATCCCCTCATCCCTGCTCCCTTCATCCCCCATTTCTTCTCCCCTCATCCCTTCATACCCTCATCCCTCCTCCAGTCTCCTCCACTGCATGTCTACCAAACACCCTGCCTAGAGAGCTGGCGTCTGATTACAGATCAGAGCAGGTACACTTGCCACCCATCCCTGATAGGGTTCAACTCACACATCGTTAGACACAGTTGAGGCCACATCCACCTCAGACCACGCTCACAACAGGCTGCTCTAACGCTTCAAAGAACTCACCAAGATTCATCCAGGAAGACATTAAAAGGTGAGGTCTTCTCACAATTACAAATGCCATATCCTATCACAGACACAGGCAGCATCTCTTCCATGTAAGACCCAAATGGCCGTGCTGTACATTCTGCAGCTCTGCCGACATGGATTTGAACTTATCCCCTCCTCCAGTCTCCTCCAGAGCATGTCTACCAAACACCCTGCCTAGAGAGCTGGCGTCTGATCACACATCAGAGCAGGTACACTTGCCACCCATCCCTGATAGGGTTCAACTCACACATCATCAGACCCAATTGGAGCCTCATCCCTTCTTCCTCTCATCTCTGCTCCCCTCATCCCATCATCCTTTCATCCCCTCATCCCTGCTCCCCTCATCCTCTCATCCCTCCTCCAGTCTCCTCCACTGCATGTCTACCAAACACCCTGCCTAGAGAGCAGGGGTCTGATCACAGATCAGAGCAGGTACACTTGCCACCCATCCCTGATAGGGTTCAACTCACACATCGTTAGACACAGTTGAGGCCACATCCACCTCAGACCACTTCCCTCATACCTTCATCCCTTCATCCTTTCATCCCTTCATCCCCTCATCCCTCCTCCACACCAGGTCCACCAAACACCCTGTCTGGAGTGCTGGGGTCTGATCACACATCATCAGACCCAGTTGGAGCCACATCCCCCTCAGACCACGCTCCCAACAGGCTGCTCTAACGCTTCAAAGAACTCACCAAGATTCATCCAGGAAGACATTAAAAGGTGAGGTCTTCTCACAATTACAAATGCCATATCCTATCACAGACACAGGCAGCATCTCTTCCATGTAAGACCCAAATGGCCGTGCTGTACATTCTGCAGCTCTGCCGACATGGATTTGAACTTATCCCCCCATCCCATCATCTTCTCTTCATCCCCAGCTGGTCACGCAGCCGGCTCACATTGACCAGAGACACCAGACGAGCAGCGCAGCAGCGGATACACCATAAATTTTGTTTTAATTTACATGTGTAAGGCTGTTGTCAGGTAGCCTGTGAAAATAAATTTTAAATTGTAGATTCAGATCATTTTCTACATTATTAGTACTCACTGTATTTAATTTGGGGAAATACGTTTTGGTCACAATGTAACATTTCAATGTAAGAGCCACAAGATTAACAGTAATTATTAATCAATGGTCATGGTTCACAATAGAGGACTGCGGACATGTATGTGAGATTTTAACACAGACAAGTGGGTGACACAGCGGGGGGCAGTGGTGACATTCTTTGCTATATACATACATTTGTATGTCTTTGTGCTCTAAGGAAGAACCAAGGAGTGTATGCTAAAACACCAGATGAAATCAACATTTGTCTGTGATTACCTTTTACTGTTGTTTCTGTACTTGAGAGGATATAAGAGATGTTTCTTTGTGAGAACCTTGTCTGGCTCTCTGTGGCCACGTTATAAAGGATTGATTCATCTCATCTACTCTTTTTAGGGAAAAAAAATTAATTCACATACCCTTTCCAATGGTGGCACTAGTCCTTTCTTATTTAGCACAAAAGTGTCTAGATTTTGGTTTGAATTTGAAGATATGACTTATTACTTATTATTATTATTATTATTATTATTTTCTGTATCTGTATCCGTACTCAGCTTAACCTGGACGCGGGTGGGACTAACTGGAAGTGAGTTATTCAAGCCTGAAATTGGAATAGGTTAATCAGAAGTTGCTATACTTATAAGAAAACTATTCATAGAACAGACTCAGAATTGAGTTTCTGAGCAATGTTTTTGATTACAATAGTAGAGAACGATTAAAAATTTTTTTAGAAAAGGTTATTAGAAAACAGATATTGACCAATTTTACTCTCATGATACTCATACTCCTAAAAATGATCTGGAACAGATACTCGTTTCAACCCTAATAATTAGTGTCCATGTTTCAACTTTGCCATGGTTTCTCTCAAACACAGCAACTAGGCTATTTTTTTCTCTTGCTCCTTGCTTCATCCTGCAAAAACACCTTTTCTTCAACTGATAACTTACAGACCAAAACTCAATCAACACATACATATCTGACAAAAGTCTCAAATAGTCAACACAATGAATTAATGCAAGTTTAACTTTAGAAAACTTATGTAGTTGAGTTCAAAATCCAACATTTGTCAGAGCTCCTTGAGTTAAAAAGAAGTAAGTGGACTTAACTAAATGTGAATACTAATTTACAGTGCAGCATCTCTTCCATGTATGACCCAAATGAGATCCAAATGTGAAAGCGTGTTTGTGAGGGTTTAAAAAAGAAATAAGAATCATAAAAATGAAAACATTAAAGATTAAAGATAAAGTTTTTATCTGAGCTCTGTCTCTACATCACAGTAACAACTTTATGTCCATTGACTGCCTGGAGGGTAGCTACTGTGTGGAAGGGAGATGAGAGGTGTGTGCTGCAGCTCAGTGTTTTTCCACCGGTGTTTTTGAGGGCGTGTCGGACTCGCCGCTTGCCGAACGTTATATGATGCGCATTTTAATTTAATTTATTATATATTATATTTATATTATATATATCGGGGGCTCTGCCGACGCAGATCTGAATTGTCACTTGCTATAGAGGTGGCACTTACATAAAACAAACCTTTCATCAAATGGCATCTCCTTATTTAAACTGGACTTGGTCCAAATATGTACGTGCGCTCAGTATTCACCAGAGAGACCCATTAGAAGGGAGTGTCCTCACACCATGTCCACTAAACACCCTGCCTGGAGAGCTGGGACATCAGAGCAGGTACACTTGCCAACCATCCCTGATAGGGTTCAGCCCACACATCATCAGACCCAGTTGAAGCCACATCCACCTCAGACCATGCTCACAACAGGCTGCACTAATGCTACAAGGAGCTCACGAGATTCAGCCAGGAAGACATTAAAAGGTGAGATTACAACGGCCATTTCCTATCACAGACACAGACAGTATGTCTTCCATGTAAGACCCAAATGAGATCCAAATATGGAAGGGTGTCTGTGAGGGTTTACGCTGGGTGCTCCGGTTTCATCCCACACAAAAAATAACTATAAAAATTAAAACAGAAAAAAAATTAAGCTGCAATCAATGATGGATGGGCGCTAGCACCCTGATGTACATCAGGGGTTTCCAGCAACAAATATGGATTTCTGCTAAATATGGATGCTCTGATCAGACATCAGTAAACAACAGCAAACAAATATAAATATACAAATATAGTAAATATGCCAACAACTAATATAACAACAGAGATATAGAGTAAGTAATCAATGGGTACCAATGATCTCAGCCTGGTCACTGTGCTGCCATCTGGGAAGAGAAATAGGAGTTTCTGCTGCTGCACTGCCAGACTTTTTTTTCCACTGCACTGCTCCATTGATTATAGTTTATTTCTGTTTACCATTTTTATGATTAATTTTATATTACTGTCTACTGTCTTCTATTTAACAGAAGGGAGTTACAAACTTAATTTCACTTTACAACCTGTTGTAATGTGACAAATAAACCTACCTTGTACCTTGAGTAGTGCAGACATTTAAAAGGTATATGTTCTTCATGTTGTAGATATCTTGCAGTATGTTATATATGGAAATGCTCATGTTAGCCCACACACGTGTAAGATATTGTAGGGGTTTGAGGAGGTAGGAACGGGACTTGATAAATCCACAATACGCTTGCCATTTCTTACTCAACACCACTGGAGCCACCACAGATCATTACTCATAGCTGAGTGGCAAGGATGTGCCAACATGTGCTGCAGAAGGTAATGTACTGTATACTTCAACAGCAGCTCTTGTCACTTGCTCACTCACTCTGGTGAACACACACTGCTGCTGTCTGCTGCCAGCCTATCACAGTTTTAAAAAGACAGCTTTTCTTTCTCTGTTTAAGTAGGAAACAAGACACGCCTTTGCCATTCTGCATTCTGTCTGATCCTGTGTGCCCAAACTGCGAGCGTTTCATCCCTTCCCGACTTACGTTCCTTGATCCTCTTTGTTTCTTTTCTGCTGAGTGATGCTGCTGTGTGCTGGTTCTGCGTGGGTGGCCCAGTAAATAGTCTGCCCGCAGCTTTCATCTTTGTGTCTCACAAAGACATCAAATGAATTTTGTTTGCATAGACAAACACGCTGAAATGACCACCAGGCAGCGTATGAAAGGTGTCTCTTTTTAAATTTTTTTTCTCCATTTATTTAGAAGAAAGACTGTGGAGACCATTGTCAATACTATTCCCAGAATGACAGGCCTGACAAAATTAGAAAGCTGATTATCAGCATACTATGTAACGTAATTGACTAATAGCTACAGAACCCATCTGCAAAACACTTTGGAGGCAGTTCTATAATTTAAATGGACACTAGCCAGGGCTGGACTGGTAATCTGGCATACCGGGCAAATGCTTGGTGCGCCGACACACCTTTGGGACCGATATAACTTAAATTATTTATTTATATAGGCTAACTGCTTTTAAAAAATGGGAAGATCGGCCCATAAAGCATGGACAGCGGACCATTGGGTAATTTTCTATAGCCTACAGAGCCCCTCCCCCTTTGCCCTCTGATTCTTGCGTTGCATTCTTCAGATGGAGGCCGCAAAATGCACAAAAAGAACAAATAATAAATAATACGCGAAGATATGTTTGCTACTGGGGCTGCAGTAGTTTTAACATCAGCTGTAGTACCCTGTAGAGCAGGCACAGGCACACAGGAGTAAAGGGGAGCCGTGGCCCCTGCCAGGCAGAGGAGGAGGCTGTGTTAGCAGAGCAGAGGGACAAAGTGACAGGGCCCAGGGAGAGAGAGCAGGAGGAGAGTGGAGGTGAAGCAGTAAGCATGGAGTAGCTCAACCTGTAGGGAGGGAGCAGGGAGGGAGGGTCATTTACACTGGGGACGCTGGGGACATGTAGCCACCACTTTTTGAAAGCATTTGGCCTTTCTGTGCGGAGTCTGCATGTTCTCCCCGTGTCCGCGTGGGTTCTCTCCGGGTACTCCGGCTTCCTCTCACCAAAGACCAAAGACATGCAGGCTAGGTTAATTGGTGTCTCTAAATTGCCCTTAGGTGTGAGTGTGAGTGGTTGTCTGTCTATGTGTGGCCCTGCGATGGACTGGCGACCTGTCCAGGGTGTACCCTGCCTTTCGCCCAATGTCAGCTGGGATAGACTCCAGCCCCCCGCGACCCTGTACACAGGATAAGCGGTTGTTGATGGATGGATGGATGGATGGTTCTGAAAAATAGCTTGCACCAGGAAATGTTAATTAAATAAAATAAATAAAAATGCTATGAAAAAGGTTTATTTGTACAATAAGCCTGCAATGCATTGTAAATATAGGAGAAACCTCTGCGTTGTCCAAAAAAAGTAACTTAAGCTAAAAATTAATAAGCTACTTTTTTATATATTATATTGATATATATTTTTATATTCTGAATTGTCACCTACCACCAGAATTTTGTGCTTCCCTTCATAAAAACTAAAGACATTTCCACCTTAAATTGGTGCAAAAAAAAGGCCCCACAATGCAGGAAATTAAGTGTTTAATGCTCAAAATCTTCTGGGGGAGGACACCCAGACCCCCCAATCAAATATTTCATCAACAAATATTTTTTCTAAATAATAGACATATTCAACAATATTCTTGTCTTGTAGTCATGGCCACCAATCTTGTGCAATGTCACGTCTTAGTGTTTCGTCACACCCCTAATCTGACCCCGAAATGGAAGGAGTGTATTGGTGAGGTGTGTCCGACCGATTTGGTGGGCCGCCTGGGCCAAAAATGCCAGGGCCAATTTTTTGTCCCAGTGCAGCCCTGATTTAAGCGGTTAGATGAAGCTTTTTAAAACAGCATTTTGACCCTTCTCTCCATTCCAATCCCATCAATAGCAGCAATCCATTCATAAGTAATTATCCCTCGTACTTCGCTGAGCGATAGGCCAACAGACAAGCAGAGAGAGGCGGACTCATTTATTTCACTCTCCCTCAGCAGCTTTTTCATGCTGGTGTGGCATCACCCCTGCTTGCACATGCTAGCGCTGCATTCTGTGTGTATGACAGAGGCTTTAAATC